AATGAATAAACATATTTAAAAAAATTAATGGAGCAGAAACTGAAACAAACTGAAAGATAATTACTGATCAAATATGTTCATTATAATTGGTGTCAAATCTAAAATGCACTTTTTCCTTTAGCATATTAGCAATGTTTGTGTGTTCCAACCAGCAATAATTAGAGTCACACGTTGACATTTTACTGTATTTTTGTGAGAAATGAAAACATTAGAGAACCTCTGCCTTGAGCACTACAAGACAAGCTCTGTTTTCTATCTCGTTTGACAGTACACCGGCATTCCTTTACCTTTACTAGGGTTACTGAGTTTTTTAAGCTTTTAACTTTGGAGGAAAACAAGGCTGAACTCAGTGTCTCTCAACACTGACGAGTTCTCTCGTCATTTTGATTTAATGTGCCGGAACATTTTAGTCTCCCCCCCCCAAGGTCAAGGCTCTGGGATACCACTCGGGCATGCAGGCGGGAATGTAGGTCTGCAGAAAGACATTGGAAAAAGGATGGTCTGCAGGTTCCCTGTATCATTTTCAGAACATCCCTGGCAGCATAACAGGATGAAGAAGGCTAGGGTATCTTATTTTGAGGACATTATTTCAACAAACTCACACATTCCAAAATTCTTCTTCAGTACCCTAAACTCTTGTCAGGGGACTGGCTCAACCTCCTTCTGATTGTAATAACTTTCACAAGTTTTTTTGTTGATAAAACATCAATCAAAAGCTCATCGATGTCGGGTACCACTCCTAAATCTGTGTTACTGGCCACACCCTCCACTACCTTTGCCTGTTTTGGTGAGATCTCTCTAGTTGAACTGGGTAGGCTAGTCTCCCAGCAAAAGCCAACTGGCTCCCCTTATGATGTTTTGCCCCCTCGTCTCTGTAAGGGGGCTTTTTCCTCGCTGGGCCTGTTTATATTACCCATTATTAATATTTATTTTCATGACCATGACCATTTACAAAGGAGCCAACAAGTACTAAACACCTCTGGGAACTCCTTCAAGACTGTTGGAAAACCATTTCAGATGGCTACCTCTTGAAGCTCATCAAGAGAATGCCAAGAGTGTGTAAAAGTAATCAGAGCAATGGGTGGCTTTAATGAAGCAAAAAGCATATACAATATGTTTTCAGTTATTTCACTTTTTTGGTGAAGTACATAACTCCACATATGTTCATTCATAATTTTGATGCCTTCAGTGAAAATCTCCCAATGTAAATGGTTATGGGTTAGGGTAAAATGTAATTTTAATGCCCTTTTGTCTAGTCTGCCTTAGAAGAGTGTATCTTGTTCAGCTCAGGCAAACTAAGACATTATTATTATTATTATTATTATTATTATTATTGTTATTATTAACTCATTCACTGCCAGCCATTTCCTGATCACTAACGGCCTTCGCTGCCAGCGTTTCTCACCGTTTTTACTGTTTTTTTAAGAGTCACAGAACGTTGCGCGCTAGCATGATGTCAATGCCAAAACAACCAAAACAAAGCGGAGACTCACCTCTTACATCAGGAAGAAGCCGCGTGTTTCGAGCGTTATCAGTTCTTTCATAATCCGTTGTCGAATTGTGATCGGCAGACGCTTTTCCAGTTCGTGCCTCACTTTTTTTACAGGAATGGCCCAAAACGATCTCCAAACACATGGATGTGTTGCTTCCTGATCACGTGGTCTGTGACGTATGCGGATGAAGATCGGCTTCAGGGCTGAGATGTTTGTTCTCTTAGCGCAGGGGCTCGTTCCGATGCTCAAACAGTAAAAAAATGCAAATGACGACTTAAGTCGTCATTGGCATTGAACGGTTTGATCTAAAATGATGACTTTAGTCATCAATGGCAGTGAAAGAGTTAATAATAATAATAATAATAATAATAATAATAATATAATAATAATAACAACTTCAATGTATGATTGGCCTTTACCTGGAAGATCTCCTAAGTGCTGAGTCAGAGCTGGAAAATGGTGCAGCAGCAATCTAACCTTTCTGAATGGATGGAAAATCACATTACTGATTGTGTGTAATGGCTGATATGGTATGTAGCCTTTTACAACCATATAGGTCATTTTGCACCCGCCTTTGAATCATTGATCAAAACTTGCTGCATCACAGAAAATGTAGCTAATAGAAATTCTTCTTTCTTTACACCGTGTGCTGAAATGACGGACTGGCCCAAAGTGTCCGTTCTCTGTGCTTGTCTGTTCAAGACTATCACCACATTTTCATTTCTAATAATCATCCAACATGTTCTAGGCTGCTGTGCACATAGTGTTTATTTTTTTTATTGTGATGATTGAAATTAGTTGGGAGTCCACAACACTATGCGCCTATCTTTGTAGAATTCTTGTTTAAGCATGAACCACATTTTCTGTGCTTAATCATATTTTTCCCTCTTAATGCTGCATCTCATTTTCTTTCAATTCCGTATTTTGATGATCCCCGAGCTCTTCCTTTCTTTTTAACCTCATGTGCATGTACAGACACCACCATCAGTGTATTGCCACTTGAATGAATGGGTTTTCCCAAATAACAGCAAATAATATTCTCACCTTTTATGCATGTGGGGATGCACAGC